TGATTTGAAGTATGCATGGGCACACATCTAGCATTGTTAGGAATAGCTTGAACAGTCATGTCTCTCCCCAGGATCAAGTGGCAGCCTTCTGTGACTGCCATAGGATCTCAGGAGCAGACACATTTAGCTGAAGGTGATAACGCATACTCACAGAGACTCCAAATTACATTTGGCTTTTCAAATCCAGATCTCTGCATGGCCATAGCAACTACCCTCAAGTACCAGGCAATAATCTCCCATACAGCAGATCACCTGATCCCATTAACTGAAGATATAAGAGATTTAATTTGAAAGTCCCTGAACAGGAAAATAATTTGTGCTCTCATTTAGCCAGTGACTCTCCACAAAGTAGCTTAATAACAAGATAAAACAAAGATAAAATGTATCTAGCAGAAAAACAATAGATAAGAATGAAATTACCCCAGTCAAAATGATCCACCAGTGTTCTATCAAAACAAAACATATGTCAACTGTTTGGGCCAGTAGGAATTCAGAAACAGCCTCTTGCTTCCTGCTTTGCAGACTTGGACCACAAGAGGAGATGGGCTGGAACTCCAGACTGAGTATTACTGGTGAATCAACTTACAGAAAGATTTTCAATTTTTTAAAAAAGTAAAAATCCTTGTGGGAATGGGATGGACAGATGTCCATTGGGATAGACATCTGTTCTATATACTTACTAAATACTTAATCAATTACTTAAAAGCTATTATCAGAAAAATCCTCTAAGTTCTCAACAGAGACACCAGAGGATTTCCCCCCCCAACTTTAAATATATTTTGGACATGTAGCCAACATCTTATAGGACAAAGTGAGAAAGCTATTCTCTCTCACCAACATGCTGAAACTGCTTCATCAACAAGGCAGAAACATGTTCCCCTAAAAGCTCCCAGAGCAGTCAGTCAAGATCCAATCAGTGCTCTGAAGCTGAGCGTAAGCAAGACATAAAAGCCTGTGCAGACACCTTTGCATTTACTTGTGTGTAATCTCTTTTGTAGGCCATGTACATGCAACCCACCCACATGAAGTCTAGCTTCCCAGTGACACTCTTTTTTTTTTAGCAGCACTAACTTAGCTACTAGGCAATAGGCAGTGACATGAAACATGAATGGTCTTATTCTGTCTGGTTATAGTCTCTCTTATTGTCCAGGAATTACCCCCATGTGGCTATATGTAGGCTCAGAACCACTGAACGTTATCTGACTTGGCTCAAGAGGAGGCTGGCTTGCTTGGGCCTGATGTAATGGGAAGAAGGAATAACCTTGAGGAACAGGAGGAAGAGCCACAACCAACACAACAGTCAAATAAAAGAGATCTGAGTCCAGGCCAGAACTATAACCTGAGTAAGCATCTTAGACAAGACTCTAATTCTCATGAAGATAAAGGGAATGAGAGGGGAAGCACATTCAGACTTGCAAGATTCTGTTACTGTAACCTTATAATAAAGGTACTACAGTATTAGCATTCATGACTTTAGTTTCCTAATCTGGTCTACCTTGAAGGGCTGACACACATCAAGGAGAATCCCATATTGGGAGAAGACCTCTGGGGATAGAGCAGTGGCTGAACAGCCCAGGCTCCCTGGTCTGCTTTCATCATCAGGGTCTCTTTCTACTGGAGAGAATTATCAGTAGCAATGCTTCCCTTCATCCTTAGGTCACACATGTTGACAAACATGAATGCTTGCTCATTACCTAAGGGCTCCAGTTAGCGCCTGATTCCAATATGAAGCTGGGCTACTGAGCCTTTGCCATTCTCAGAATATACTGTAGCTTCTCCAAGAGTTTAACCAATTAAGAAAAGAACCAAGGGTAGAACCTGGCTCAGCGTTTAACTGTTTTGTGGCAAACAGGAATGGCTCAGGCACAAATTGAGGAGACAAATGTCCAAGTTCCCTTGGTGGGTCACAAGCATCTAGTTGCTACACAATGGATCAGATTTTAGAATAGGCCAAACATGATCTACTGCTACTCTGGCATAGGCTTCACCTTCACACTCCGGTGAAAATAACAGTCTTATTGCACTCTGTAAGAACATAGGCAGCAGCACTGGGTGTCTTTTGGAATGATTTTTGTGTTGGTTTCATCCAGTCCAAGGCCGTTCTGCAGAATTGGTTGTAGAGCTGATGTTGACAAACTGAGCTGATGATGAGCTCCCATGTTTGCCTGACTTGAATGTGGGAAGGTTTTAATTAGAAATCCATTCATCCATCCATCCATCCATCCATCCATCCCTCCCTCCATCCCTCCATCCAGAAAGAAAGAAAGAAAGAAAGAAAGAAAGAAAGAAAGAA